GGCTCGTCGAAGTAAAGTGCAAGCATCATTTAAATCACCATATCGCATTTAGTTTTGAGTAGTATGAAGTTTCAAAGCATTTTAGTTTGTTTCTTCTTATTGTGTACGTTCATAGAGGGAGAGACGGGACATAGTGTGCACCGGTGGCTCGTCTGTGCAAAAGATCCAACAAATTAATCATACTGAAATCTCTGACTTTGGATTCAGTCTGAGCACACTTGCAGGTATCAAAAGAAACAGTAAACAAAATAAATAATAATCTTAATGCTCCTGTAAAAAAGATTAATTAATTAATTAATTAAAAAAAGGAAAATATTCATTAGGAAAAAAATAATATCTATAGATTATTTAATATATTATATAATTTTTGGTAAAACAAAGGGGGGGGGGGTATGTTTTCATGTGATATGTTTTTTATTCACCTAAATAATAAACATAACACAAACAAAAAACATGCGTTTTTGAGTGATCTCACACCCCTACAGCCCCAAATCACACAAACACACACACACACACACACGCCCCAGTTCTGCTGTGTAATGATGCTAAAGCATTAATAATGCAGAGCTGTTTGGAGGAGGTGCTGTTTATTCTGCATGGAGAACGAGAGGGAACGAGAAAGAAAAGAGTGAGCTGTACAGAGAAGTTTAGGTAAAGAATCACTGATCGAGGTGAGGAACGCTTGAGCTGAAGGCAAGCAACGTCTGAACACTGACAGACAACAGCAAGAACAAACAGATTCTAGATGAATGATGCTGCTCTGAAAGGCTGAGGGACACACAGACAGGAAAGAGAAAAGGAGAATCTGTGGGCCGACAACTCTATCTTCCTGCAACCACGCAACACGCTCGATTCCAAAAAGTTACGCTGCCTCCGTCAGGCAAAGCGAGCTGCTCGTGTGAAGCATTCCCTGTACATATGTCAGTCCTGTGGGTTGTCATTACCTCATCATGATCTCATCGTAGCCTCCTCTGGCCGTGTACGGGCCGTCAGGTGCTTGGAGCTACTGAAAGCATGTGACCGCATTGTAAACACATGCAAGGGGGTCCGGGTTTGGCTGCTAAACTTTGTGAATAGGCCCCTGCTGGTAGATGCCACAACTACACATGCAAAAAAGCATATTTTTCTACTGATGACCATTCGAAATTGTCAAAACTCAAAATTTGAGTTTTGACTAAACAAAATAAAAGCAAATAACATACAGAATTATTACTGAAAACTTAACCAAGCCAGGAACAAGGCAAGCAAAGATAAGAGCTACAGGTCACATAGGCTACTTCTGGAAGAGCTGTGCTTGGAGATGAAGGGCAATGCAAACCGCTCTCTTCAGGTGTATTACAGCTAACAAATTTATATGTACATCAACAAAGAGAGAAATGTGGGTTAAATGCACCTGATGATGTCAGGATTTGGCATAAGCAACTACTGTAGAATGGAAACTGTGCCAAACATGAAGAGGGGATGTTTGTTATGCTAATGGAGGTGCTAATGCTAATGGAATACAGGTCAAGTTAATCAAGTCTGTAAATCACGTGAAAGTAGTTTAGACAAAACCGATCAGACAGTCTGATGTGCTGCTGCTACTTTGTTTAGTGAAAATTAAGTCTAGTCACCCAGGATTTTATCTTGAGTCCATATGATCTCATTGCAAGACTCATACCCACATAAACATTTAACCATATAATACAGTTTTATTATTATTGTATTTAATCTGCCTTGGCAATGTAAAACCAGCCATTCCAGAAATATGAGCATAAACTACTTTGAAATACAGTTTGGGGTCAGTAAAATATTTTAATGTTTGTTAAAGAAGTCTCTTGTGCTCAACAAGGTTGCATTAATTTGAATAAAAATACAGTAAAAAGAGTAATTTTGTCAAATTTAAAAGAACTGTTTTCTGTTTGAATATATTGTAAAATGTATCATTACTCCAGTGTCACATGATCCTTCAGAAATAATTATAATATGCTGATTTGCTGCTCAAAAAACTTTTATTATTATTATTATTATCAATGTTGAAAACAGTTGCGCTGCTTCATATTTTTGTGGAAATCGTGATACATTTTAAGAGGAAACTTCAAAAGAACAGCATTTATTTGAAATAGAAATCTTTTGTAACATTATGAATGTCTTTAATGTCTCTTTTGATCAATTTAATGTATCCTTGCTGAAAAAAAGTATTCTTTTTAAAATGAAAGATCTTACTGACCCCAAACTTTTGAACAGGACTGTATGTTATGGGATTATAACATGTAGGTCAAAGGCTGTGGTAAAGCAGGAGGTGATGGATGACAGACTGAATGGAAAGGCAAGGAATCCTATGCATGACAGACTCCAGTTTCAATTTCTGGAGTTTTCTGATAAACGGGGACAAACAGCAGTCATCTTCATCTCAAACCCTTTCTTCCAGTCCATACACAAACTACTGGGTAAAGCTAAGAGATGGAAATATGTTTCTCAGAGATGATGCCCATGGTCAGGTGAATGTTACGCTTACACCATATACTTGTCTATATACTTCTGTCTCTCTTCATGACCTTTCCACCAAATCACTTCCCGAACAAATATCTGCCAGTATCTCACTGCCTGAAACTGATGTTTTTTTCCCTCAACCACAGAAAAGACATACACACCTCAAACACATGTAAGAGATGAATGAGAGGAGCTGTGTTGTATTATTGAACACAAGAGCTGGTCTTGAGAATTCGGTTCTGTCTCTTCAGAGAATTCTAGGGATGTAACGGTTCACTTAACTCATGATTCGATTCGATTCACGATTTTGATTTCACGATTCGATTCGATTCGATTCACGGTTTTTTGGTTTTTTTTTACAAAATGAGATTTAAGACAAATTATAAATTAAATGTGTCCTTTCATTATTGCTTGGACAAAATGCTGCACGTTTCTTTGTGAAATTGAAATATAACACTATAATAATATACTAATATAGAATTCTGTTTTTATATTGAATTATGCTGTACCAGACATCTGCACTTTTGGACAGCACTCTCATAACCTTAGTGTGGTGAGAAAGAAAGAAATTAAAGAAAAGAAAGAGTGTTGAAAATGACACTGTAAACAATTATACACTAAAAATAAAGCCTCTTTGTGTAGAATTTGCATATAGTTGTGACTGGTTACAGATTGCCGTAAATGAAAGTTAGGCAATTATTTTTTACGACTGATCATTGCTGACATTTTCAAATACTCAAGTACTAGTTCTGATCTCTAATCAATTCACACTGTATGCCTTTGTCTTTGCAAATGCTTTTAAAACGCTTCCTTGTTTGACTAAGCCGTGTTCAAGCGTGTTTGATGTGATCAGCACTAGCACTTGAGTAGGGCTGTAGCTATCGATTATTTTAGTAATCGAGTATTCTACCGATTATTCCATCGATTAATCGAGTAATCGGATAAGAAATTATTTTTCTTTATTAAAGAGCACTACTAAATATACAAGATATAAGATAGATCTCTTAAAATAAACAACTCATTTGTTTTCTTTTTAGAAAAATTAACATTTTTATTGCTGAAATTGCATACATTAATAACCATGAAAACTAAACCCATTTAATTGCCAAATTACATTCAAAATGCAAATACAAATATATCAATAAAATAAATAAATAAAAAACAAAAATCAATTTCACATTACTTTAAAAAAGGTAAACATTCAAGTTTCAGCCTAACTAAAGCTCAAGCATGACATAAGCCTTTACTGTCTTCTTGGAAGTCTTTGTGGCTTTTGTGAGAGGCAAAACTCAGTGGACAGGAAGGTAGCTTGGAACAAGAACAAGAGTCTATACACAATTTTTAAACACATTTTTCTGCAACATGAAATTAGAGTTATTTGGAGAATAAACCCTCTTAAATGTCTCTTTACGTACTGGTGTGTGTGTTTGTTGTGTGTGTGTAAAAATTGTTTTTGAAATCCTTCATATTCTGTGTGCGGGTCAGTTCACAGCAGTGATAGAAATTAATCTGTTCCAATAAGTCAAATTAAAAACCGCCAGTAGGTGGCAGCAAGTCACTGTTATGAAGTGATTCATTCAAGCGATTGAACCGAATAATTTAAACAGGTGATTCATTCAGGAACGAAACGCCGTCATGTTGCTCAGAGACGCAAAACAGCTCTGTGACTGTGTTTGGATTTTGTTTTTGTTTTTTTGGCAAAATAAAGCAAAAACAGGCAATATAGTGTCTAAAACGTAAGTCTCTTAATATTACCTTCTTGTTTATTGAACTGTTGAATAAAATTACATTTGTAATCATGCTGATTTTAGAGGTGAAAACTGGCACACTTCGTGTGATATTGACTAACGTTCTTTCTGTGGTATTTTTATGCACAATGGCGTTTAGTCTTTCACAAAACATAGCTAACGTAGGGACATCATAACTAGCCACCATATTGATTTACGATCTTAAATATGTCCAGCACTTTTTTTTACAGTCTATGGTCCAGCGTTTATCGAGTTGTGCGTCAGTTATAATGTTCCGTGGGGAAACACGGTGTTCCGTGTGTAGTTACAGTAAATGGACTAAACGAAGCCTCGAGGCAAATAATTTGCCTCTATGATTTTTTGTATTCGAGTTACTCAAGCTATTCGAGGAATCGTTTCAGCCCTACACTTGAGTATTTGAAAGTGACAAATAAAATAAAAATAAACCAGGATATAACCCACACTTATCAGAAAAATTGCAAATATTGCCGTTTTAAACTGCTGTGGTTCTCAAACCTTTTTGGTTACTCTACCCCTTTAAACCTTTTTTAAAAATCTGGCATAGACACGCTTTGTGTTGCTGTTGAAGTGAAGTGGCGTTCTTCTATGACGGACTTGATGAGACAGTGCAAAGTCAACGGTCTAAAGAAGAAAGATTCGGAGGAATTGGCATTCGGTGCGACTTTATAGAAAGCAGAGATCCAGCCACCATTCACATGCTTGAATGCTGCCGCCACATCTATTTCCCCACAGTATCTATGAGCCCTACACTTTGAGAACCACTGCCTCAAAGTGATAATATTCATACTTTAAGCACTAATACGTACCCTTTAAGGAACTCATTTGCATCCTTTAGGGGTAGATAAGGTACAACGGTGTACCTTTGAGGGTACTGCCCCTATAAAAGTAGTTGCACCCCTAAAGTTACCATTTTTACTATTTTCTCTGACAGTGCAGAATAGTATGAAATGCCCTTAGTCTTTTTGGATAGTCTTTGATGGTATTTTCGTCCCCCTGCCCAGATTCTCATGCATTAGTCAAAGCATGCCAACTGTTCACTCTCACAAACTCTTTGTCATGTCCGCCTGTGGACACGCACACATCACCTTCTGTCCATTCACACTGCACACAACCCACACTGCTTTGTGTCTAAGCCCACCATTCACCGCTGACCTATATCCAGACGTAAACCAGGTGAAAAAATATGCTCTGAGTTGCTTTCAGTGTCATAAAATTCAGCTTCAGGGCAGATCTCCATCGATCCCCGGGAGAATCCCCTTCGCTGACACATACAAGCCATGGGCCGCTAAAGCTAAAATAAAACTGCAGTCGCCATAGGGCAAACATACTGACCCACAGGTTAATAGAATTTTAGCAGGGTGACAAACACACACACACACACACATCAAAAACTACACAGTGAATAAGCAAAAGCAGAGACAGTGACAGAGGCAGAGAACTGTAGAGAAACACAGTACAGATGGGAAGAGGAAGATGAAAAGAGTGACAAAGCAGAGACGAGGGAAACAGTGCATGACAGGCCATGAGAAAAAAAGCGAGTGAGAGAGATAGTCTGATGAGATAGTAATGAAATCAATCAGCTGCATGGAGAAACATAGACTTATTCAATGAGAAGAAAGAGCGAGAGGAGGGACATAAGCACATTTGTGCAGGATAGAGAGAGATACGGGATAGAGGGCGAATCTTCTGAGAGGTGGAACATAGACAAATTTAAACTGAATATTCAGGTCATATTTCATCCCAAAAATTAAAAGAAAAAAATATGATTTGCTAAAAGAAAATATGAAATGCAGTTCACAATCATAAAAAATTGCCCAATTATTTAGGGCAGGGTTTTTTAAGTTGGCTGAAAAGGAAAGTTATAAACAGGTTATTTATGCACCATAAGAATAGAAACATTATATAATAAAGTAAACAGGGTCATTATTCAAGTTGATTTTTGAATTTTTTTTTAGTAGCTTTTTCCAAAGTAAATTACAAAAATTAATGTATTACTGTATTACCAATTCATACATTTTTTTTTTGTTTGTTAACAGAGTTAAAATGACACTTTTTGATTATTGTAAAGTAATGAAAATCAAATCAGCATAGCTATAGAAAATAATATGAATTACCAAAATAAAAACTAATAATAATAATAAATAAAAAGTTAAATATCCAGACATTTTTTAGGTAGGGAAAAGTCACTATAAAAACAATGGTCTTAACAATATGCCACAATGTCACAACATATCACCAAATAGGCACAAAAAAGGTCTCAACAATATGCTTCATTTACAAATAATAAATAAGAATAAATGTTAATATATAATAATATATAATTTTAATATATAATAAATTAATCAAATAAGATAAAATAATAAAAAATAAAATAAAATAAAATAAAATAAAATAAAATAAAATAAAATAAAATAAAATAAAATAAAATAAAATAAAATAAAATAAACCTAGATGACCTGGAAATATTTTGTGAGTTTAACCCAGTAAATATAAAACATCTTAACACGGATTAAAGTCGTGATCACAGAGAGTTAACAGCCCCCATAGCGGAGACATAAAGTGGGAAAAGGAGTGCATCTGAAGTCTCTCTCACTCTGGGGCTTTGCCGCCCTTAATTAACCGAGCTGGCATTCTCTCTCGCACCGTAAAGGAGAGAACTTACTCCACTGCCAGCAAGGAGGCCTTCACAACGAAATTAAACTTGGTGCATTCGCATGACTAAAAGTAATAAAGACTAAAAAGGTCAGTCAACATTGTCTTACAGTGATTGGCGTAGAAACATATGGCATGACATTCATTTTAAAAGTCAGGTGAGATGGTGTGTGCATGATGAGATAAGAAGATAAGAGTGTAAGAGAAAGACACAGACACACAGAAAGACATCATTCGGCTACAGATAAAGTAATAAAGTAAATGAATATTCTGAGTGAAATACAAGCATATAATTTCAACTCGTCCCGCATTTTACTAAAAATATAATTCTCAACTGAATTATATACAATCCACATAAGCAGAGGCAAATATCACATTTGCATTCTTTATTTCTTAAGTATATGGAACTAAAACACAGCTGCTTTTACACAAAGATGGATGTATTAATGTGATGCAATGCAGATATCACTGAAATCCCACCAAAACGCAATTTCTTAAAGGGGTCATATGACGTTGCTAAAAAAGAACATTATTTTGTGTATTTGGTGTAATGAAATGTGTTCATGTGGTTTAAGGTTCAAAAAACTACAGGCTGTGAGTCAGCATTATTTGTCAGAACAGTCAGCATTGTAGGCTACTCTCCCAGGAAACAGTCCGCGTCCTCCGTAAAATGCGTTGCACACATCTGAATATTTGGTTTGAACTGTTATGGAACAGTGTTGTAAATACAACTTAACCGCTGATTTCTAGTTGTGTCCTCTTTTGGAAGACCAAACAAAGTAGTTTTGCTTTCACAACAAAACACACAGCGTCTCCACGACATGGCGGCGGCGGCAACAATACTACAGCGAGAATCAAAGTTACGCCTTCTTTCTTTGCGTGAACATTTGGGCGGTGTTATGCAAATCTTCCCACACAGTGACGTAGACATGTGGGGGGGGCGTGTTTAAACGAGGCGTTTTAGGAGGGCATGGACTAGTCTTTACTTTTATTAAGAATATCTCTTTGGGTTTGAGACTTTAGTCTTTGCAACTTTAGGGATCTTATCTATTCACGAACAGCTTGTAACACTCCAAAGAGAAAGGAAAACTTGAAATCGCATCATATGACCCCTTTAATCATATTTGTGACATCACGACTTTACTACACCAAAAAATGGATGAAGATCCTACAGAGAGTGAATCCTTAGGAGTTCACAGTTAACTTGGTATTTGAGCTTTTAACAGCAAATAACAAACCAAATAACCTTTTTTTTTAACATGGCATAATGTTCCAGAGGCTCTAAATGTTCTCTCAATATGACAAACCGAGACAAGTGTTTCTCTCTTCACCGCACATTTAATTGAGCTCTTTAAGTCCTTTCACAAACTGACAGTAAGTGCAGTAAATGCAGAGGGTACACCAATATAAAAAGATTAATTATGCAAAGAAGAAATCATTTTTGGCAAGCACCGAGGTGAATGAGTGTCATCCCAGAGAGAAATTACTGCACATTTACGTGAACGCGACCTTGCAGCAAAATAAATGGAGAAAAAACGTGAATCACGCTACAATCTACAATGATCACAATCATTTGATGTAATAAGACTCTTTGAGGAATCCTTCTAAAGATTTCAGCATTCTTATTATAATCATGAAGTATTTATCCTACTTGATAATCTAATTTATCTAATTGAACAGAGTCGTTAAATTTGTGTAAATAGATTGATATCGCTCTGCAAATCTGTCTTATACCTGCTTGTGATGATCTACCACTAGTTTAATCGTCATCTTTGAAATTACAACAGGCGTAGCACATCTCATAAAACAGAAATAACAATGTCGGAATGTTCACTGCAATAAATATGCTGAAAACAAGGATGGCACAGTCTTGCCATGCAGGAAATACCATTATTATGGATATCCTGCAACAGAATGTCTTGCAACCACTGTAGCATAACTTGTCGGGCGAGACTAACCCACCCAACCCCTAACCTTAACATTAAAAAGATGCACATTTTCTCCTTACCGTAAACTCCTTGCGTTTGCACGTAGCGATGGAATACAGAAAATAATAAAATCCAGAAAAGCTCCATCTTCAGGTGCGATCCCTCATTACCTGTGGGGAAAACCACGAAAGCACACAATCACTGCACAGGACACCACAGCACAGCACGAGCTCAGCATTAAAATGAGTGCTCCTGCAGTCAGAATCATGCCATCATCATCATCATCAGAGATTAAAGTAGCCTAACAAAACATTATTCACCAGTTGAAGTATTTTTATCCCTGCATTGTTCCAGTGCATGCATGCATGGGGGTTAAGAACAGACAATTCATTTGCCAAACCTTGGATTATCTGCAGATTACAGGAGCGGTGCTATTGTTTGATGGGATTGAATGCAGCAATCATGAGTTATTTCTGAAATTGGTGGGCGGTTAAGGACGATCAAATATGTGATTTATTAAACCTGACCGGAATCCAGTATCACACTGGTCAGATCAAGAAAGACATGCACAAGTATTCAACTTTTTGCTGGAAAGCCAAGCTCTATTTCGGCACACAGTAGCTCTTTTCTAGCTCTTGGAACATCTTGGACCAGTATCAAACCAGCTACCAGCAGGTAATACCACTCTAGGGTGGTCAAACTGTTTTTTTTTTGGAAAATGGTAGCTGGTAAAGTAAGGCTAATGGCCATCTTAAAATGGATTTTTCCAACAGAGGTCTGAGAAATTATGTTAGATGGTTGTTCAATTAACTTTGTGACTGGTTTAGACTGTATTTGTTTCATTTGAACATCAAATAGAGCATTTAGTAACTAACATAATTTTCCGCTCTAGGATCCCAGGCAGAACATTGACAAAAATAATTAATGACATTATTTAGCACTTTATAGATGTACATAACACTAATATTTCACACAAAAAAAATATTAATGAATCTCAACAATAGAAAAATCTCTAAAGAAGTTCTTCAAAAATAGTCATTACTACAATACTAAATGCACAAGTATTAGCAAGAGGGCTATAATTTGAATAGGCTACATGGCATAGGCTACACTACATCACTTAATCTGTAGTAAAACATCTTTAAAACTAAATTCAAACGTTTTCTGTGATATATTTGCCATTTGTACCTCTCAAATAAAGTGATTACAGTAGGCTACTTCTGTTTTGTCCTTGTTCAGTTCTATACTTATCCTAAAGGAAAGCCATCGAGCCGCGTACTGTTGCTATAGTAACCGCCTCAGGCGACCGCGACTCCGTTTCTAATATGCTACTAACTTGTAAGTCTTACTTTTTGTGGACCCCCAACCATTTTTGACTTTTTTAACTCAGTGACAGATCAGGATAATAATTAAAGAGTCCTGCGAGATTCATGGCAGAATTTCTCAACAGTCTGAAGTTTAAATTCATGAACACTTGGTCACACGTCTGAACAGGCTTCGTTACATTTATCAGCTTGCAGGGCTAAAATCACACACAAAGTTCTCTCGTGTCTAGTATGCACTATAAAAAGTGAGAATGTGCGGCAACTTCTACCTAATTTGAATGTTAAAATGAAATCCCACTGATGTCATTTAAGCACTTGAATTTGAATAAACCATTTTCATTTCAATGAAGCGCATTTTCAAGATTTGTTTTTATTTGTCACATACAACAGAACAAAAAAAATCTTGAAAATGCGCATTTTAGGATATATCTCACTAAACATATTTCTACTGTATGCATTCTTGGGTGTGGACATCGAGCGTTCACAAGCATTCACATTTAGACTGTTTCAAACACTCAAAGCTCTTTTCAGAATAAAATATTCCGATATAAAGTAGCGCTTACCTTTCTCTATGGGGGTTCAGCCTGTAGATCGCTGCCTTTCTAAATAATTCCCTTAGCAAAGAACGACTTTCAACAGAACAGAGTTCCAGGTGTTTAGTTTGTTGCGTGTTCAGCAGGAGCGCACCGATGTCTCTCCGTCCAGAAAATGGAGACAAAATTCCAACACATTCTTCCAGGCAACTTCAACTGATGTGAAACTCTTGAAGGCGGCACGCATCCACACATCCAAGGGCGAAATCGTGGAAAGCAGCAGTCCGATGCGATGCGAGCTCTGTAAGTGACTGATTGCAAGTCTGGTCCTGTGATGTTCTTCTATCAGATGTGTGCTCATCGATGGCTCTCTCAAGAGTGAGGCGGATGGAGAGGTTGCGCGTCTTTGCGCGTCAGTGTGGAGATGCGCGCACAGATCTCTCTGGGTGATGCGCGTCTGATATCTCAACGGGCTTCTGGAGAGTCTCTGCGTAAAGCTTGTCCAGCTCTGGTCTCGGTAATGAGTGGGTTTATCAGAAGGGACCGGGGTCTAAACTGTATAAACTCTCGGCTTTTTCCAATAGTATTGGTGGAATCTCCAGCCAATTAAAGCTGCGCAGCTGCGAACGGAGGACTCGCCCCGGATCCCGGAGGACCAATTAAATAAAAAAGATGAAGAAAAAAAACTCACAATGTCTCTGCCACCCCTCCTCTTTATTCCCCTCTCTCCTCCACCCGCTTTCTACTCCATCTCCCCTTCCATCAGTTTTCTCAGTGTCTGTCGTCACTGATGGTGTGGACACTTTTTGAACTAAAGCGCGCTGCTGCTCGTGACCAATAGGTGGCGTGTTTGAGCTAATTATAATTCCAGAGAGCGCTCAGCCCTTACTCATAAGGAAAAATAACAAATCGTGCATCAGGTCAGGCTCAGCTATCCGTTATATCAAGACTTCATGTGTGTGGTGTCAGTGTTGTCTTTTGGTTTTGTTTCGAGGTAAAACTAACTAAAACATGTCTATGTCACATCTCACCCTTGAATCAAAAGAAAAAGATAGAATTATAAAATAAAACATTTATAAATATATTTTGCCTAAAAATTTACTTTCATTATTTGATGGCATTTTTTCTCCAGATTCTCATGTTTGTATGCATTTTATTCTTACATTTTTTTTTCATATTATTTTTATTTAAATCCTCATAAAAGGCAGTACAACAAGCTTTCGTTGCTTCAAGTAAAATAAATTTATTATTTCTTACTTTGGGTTTTTGGGGTAAAATATAAACTGGACACTGGATTTATTTAGTTAGTTAGTTAGTTAGTTAGTTAGTTCATTTGTATTACAGTAATTTGGGGGTCAAATATGGTTAATTGCCATGAAAATAATGTTTCTATTTTGGTCCTATATAAGCTACATATGCTTAAATATCATTTAAAATATGAAGTAAAATATGGTTTCTCATTTTCTTAATTTTCGTAAATTTATGACACATTCAGTATCACAGAATGAACACACATTATCATCAAACACGGTAACCTTGGAATAAATTACACCACTGACAAAGCACTGTAAAACACATTTTGACAGCTAACCTAAAAATGCTTCAGGTAATCTCTAAATTAACAGTTGTTAAAGTCAAAAATATGACTTGCTATGAATGTAACAACCTGACAACAGTATATTAAATTACAGCAAAGAAAGTAATTTTAAGGTTCAGATTATAGGTAGAAAAAGACACAAAATGCACGTCTCTGTAGAAAAAAAGAAAAGAAAAAAGAACAGTCACTTTTAAAGTGCTCAAAAAGAATGACAGACTCAGTAATGGCATTTTTAGCTCAGAAACACTCTCTGCCTGTCAGTCATTCTGCCTCAAAAACAATGTTAGGTAGAAAAAAACAAAATAAAAAAAGAACAGTCACTTTTAAAGTGCTCAAAAAGAATGACAGACTCAGTAATGGCATTTTTAGCTCAGAAACACTCTCTGCCTGTCAGTCATTCTGCATGTCGCAGTGTGCTGACCAAGCGGCAACCTCCCGCTCTCTCTCTCGTGAAGCAAAACAAGGAAGTGATTTAAACTATAATTCATCGACTGGCCGCTAGAGGCTGGCTGCAAAAGGGAGTCAATCCCATAGACTTCCCATGTTAAAATGCTCAACTTTACAGCAGAAAAAAACATGTTTACAGCCTGGTTCAAAAAATAATTTCAGACTTCCCATGTTAAAATGCCCAACTTTACAGCAGAAAAAAACGTTTACAGCCTGGTTCAAAAAATAATTTTGGTCTATATAGCTAATTTTGCCATTCATGACAACTGTGAGGGGGGGTGAATTTTTTTATAACTCAAAATAACTTTAAATTATATCAAGCCTTTAAATTCTGCATAATTAAGGGCGTGGCCACTTGAGTGACAGGTGGATTGCCGCTGCTGGCCCGCTCCGCCCACGACCTGTCTTTGGAGGACGGGGTTTATTGACAAACTGCATTTTTTGCATAAAATGAAATGAAATAATTGTTCTGAGAAACCACACAAATCTCTGTGAAAGTAGAAAACAGCAAAAAAATAAAAAAAGTCACTTTGCTCAAAAAAGAGTGACAGTAATGGCACTTTTCAGGCCCATCAGAAACACTCTCTGCACGTCAATCCTTCTACATGTCAGAGTTTGCTCACCTGTCTTTAGAGGGCGGGGTTTTGCAGGGAGGGCGTGTCACTTTTTAGAAATGTGCAAAATATTGCATTTTCACTTTTTACACTGAGGGATACATCCTGATCCAGAGAATTAATGCCATTCTCAAACCCACTGGGAAGATCTCCTGCCTGGGACAGAGAGAAATTAAACATCAGTTTGATGCACAGAAATTAATAAATCAGTTCCAGGATGTACTGTCGAAGAAAGCGCCAGCCTGTCTAAATCCTCCTCCCTTTCGCTATCTCCGTCTTGCTCCCATTTTGGGGAGACAGCCAGCAGCCTTGGCAAGGATTGTGAAGAGAACATCATAGTTTAGTTCATCACAGTAAATGTGTGTGAGAGTCTGGCAGAGCCGGACTGGTGGCTGACATGCCCGCTGCGCGCCCCAGGTGTGTCCTCTCCTGCCCAGGGCTAGCGCATGGCACATGAAAGCAGGATGAGTGCTCTCTGGACCAGAGTGGAAAACAGAGAAATACTCTGGCCAAATAAATGTGTGAGCCAGGGGAATGCTGTCAGCAAGCATGTGTCAGTGTGTGGGAGTATGTCAGCTTTCGCAGACTCCTCTTGTGCTGGCCACAAAGGAGTACACTTCTTTTACTTCAAATTGAAAATATCCTCAATGAGACGTTAATTAATGGGATGCTCTCCATA